AAAGACATTTTCTTTGACGTTGATATTGTGGTAAAAAACATGGAAATGTGGGTTAGCGTGGTCTGTACTCGTATCGACAACGAGTTCGCGTCATCACTCTTTTCCCGAACATTTTTTTCGTAATGTTTTATGCGTGTTGAGCGAGTTTGCAAATTAAAGTTCTTGAAAGGAAAGTCTGACGCGCACAAGTAGCTCATTTGAATAGTGCAGCGCATGTACTTTCAAGTCCGAGTTTTCAATTGTCAACAAATCTTGACAAAGATTTCTTTCGTTACATTTGATATTGTCGTAAAAAAAAAACAGATCGAATGTGGTTTAGTGTGGTCTGCACTCTTTTCGACGAGTACGCGTCATCACAGTGGTCAAAATTTGTTGTGGACTCACGAGGCGCAGCCGATTGAGTCCATAACATTTTGACCACTACGATGACGCGTACTCGTTGTCGATAAGAGTACTGACCACGCTAAATCACATTCGATCTGTTTTTTTACGACAATATCAAAGATAACGAAAGAAATCTTTGTCAAGATTGTACGGATTAGAGTGGACGGTAGGCTCTGATACAGCTCAATCAGTTGATTCAAAATCAACAGGAAAACGACGACAAGAAAAATACTTCCGAGAATCAACATGAAAATGACGACGAGGAAAATACTTCGGAGAGTAGCGCCCGGTCCAAACGCCGCTCCACTCATGTGCGAACCAAACTTGATAAAGTTCGACTTTAGAGCGACTTTGGAGCGACGGCTCGTTCAGACGGCGTACTTACATCGAACGTAATTCTGGAAGCCGGTGGTAACAATTTTCGACGAGAAAATATGCGTTCTGACTTCAAGAAACTCTGTCCAAATAAAAAAGCTGTGACTAACATTTCGTTGTTTTTGCAAGATTTAGGCAAGCAAATTCAAACTCATGGTTCAGTGTTTGTATTTGGACAGGTTTTATCCGGTTAATTCGACTTGATAAAGGGAAATCTAATAAGCTGGGCTATTATCACGAAGAAAAAGCAAAAAAAAAATGAATTTGCGCTAAAGAAACTCGCTTATACAGTCCCATTTCTCATAAATCGAAGACATGCTGGTATTTTAGCGACGACTTTGAGGTTCATGCATGACTGGCCACGCCACTCAATTTTGACCCAATCACGAGTCCCGTTATATGAAAAATAAGTTACAGTAATTTATGCATTAGGTTCGACACATGAGAACGCCGTATGAATCAGCTGCCGCTCCAACGTCGCATAGTGCGACAGACCCTGCCGAATTTATTGTTGTTTGCCGCACTAAACCTAGCCTGCCGAACCAAACTGATTCAAACGCCGCTCTTCTGCCGTACTTAACTCATCAGTTAGGTTCGGCGCATGAATGGAGTGGCGTTTGCAACGGGCCTAAGGTACTCTGACAACACAATCTCCATGTTTGTGGCTCAGATAAGGAAAGAGCTTTGTTTATTGAGAAGCGTCGCTGCATGTTTTAACTTACAGAACTTTGCTGCCCGAGAGGCGAGTCAAAATACTGGAGACTGAACATATCATATACTACAATACTAAATAAATGTCAAGGAAAGAAAGAAAAAAAAAAGTCGAGACGAGGAAAAAAAGGGTAAGCAACGCGCGTGTTTAAAACACGAAATGGCGAAATAGCATTCCGGTTATCCTGAATAGCGCTCGGGTTAGCCTTAATATCACTGACTCAACAGTGGCGAGCTCTCGATAATTGTGGGGGTAACCCTTTCAGACCCGGGTATACCATACCTCGTTCACTCTTATACTCGAAGTGCCATTTCGTCAATTACTCTTGTAAGCAGCAGTTCGAAACATGACAATTTTACATTTACAAGTAAAAGGTACTTTAGTTTTCCAACATGTGTAGCGTTTGGCACAATGTCATGGAATGCTTAATTACATCCCATAGGAACAGCATGTTTAGA